AGATTTTATTTATTTATTTGACAGAGAGAGACACAGCGAGAGAGGGAACACAAGCAGGGGGAGTGGGAGAGGGAGAAGCAGGCTTCCCGCTGAGCGGGGAGCCTGATGCAGGGCCTAATCCCAGGACCTTGAGATCATGACCTGAGCCGAAGGCACACGCTTAACGACTGAGCCACCCAGGCGCCTCTATAGTTACATTTAGATGTGGATGTATGTCATAGATTAGACAGAAGACAGAAAGCTATCCACTGACAGCCTGCCCCCTGAAGAACTTCTCTGATCTTAAACCTAGCTGAATTCTCCCCCACTTCCCACTCCATTGAAAGTTGTTTTGAAGTATCAGATCTAGGTATAGATTCCGTTTCCGGTACGTATAAGTGAAGATAGATTATTGTCTTATAGTTTTTAAAAACTTGGTGCCATTTTATGTGAAATTTTTCCTTACATTTTGTTTGAGGGCTTCACAGTTTCCATGGCGTGGAGGTCGTTCATCTCTGTCGCTTGGGTTGAGGTGCTAGGGCTACAGCTTTGTGAAACGTTCTTCTTAGCCCAATCAGGCCTTCCCTCTTCTTCATTGGATTGCTCTTTATCTCTTAGGCTTCCTAAAGGATGAAGGTCTTTGGTATAAAGACCGTTTCTTTGTAAGAAACTTTTATATTGGATAATCGGCAAATGATTGTATTTCTGCTGAGTTTTAAAACTCCGTCCTATAAAATTTAAGTTAATGAAATTCAAAACAATAATTTCATTGATTTCTTTTTAGACTGTATATTCATTTCCCCTGTTAAAATTCATTATTCCCTTTGAGTCTAACTGCTGATCTCTAGAAAATATTATTTTAGGTACTTGAAAAAGAAATAAGGAAGTTAGTCTTTAGAAGAAAGTACTGATCATTTTTCAGTACCATCAAATTCTAGGCATATAACAGTTATAAATTAGTGCTTATTTTTCATGCTTCTGTATCAGAGAGTTGACCTGTACTCTTGACTGATTTTGGATTTCAGGTTTGCAGTAATGAGCTGAAGTGTGTCTGTAACAGACACTGGATTGGTGCAGACTGCAGCACATACTTCCCTCACAATGATGATGCAAAGACTGGCATAACTCTGTCTGGCAATGGTAGGTACTTGATAACTGCCATTACATAGTTTTTATACATAACGAGAGAGAACTGCTCTTCAGAGAGTTTCATTTGGATTATTGTTATAGCTCAAATATAATATACAACTGGGATCCACGCAGTATGAAACTGATATTTTCCATTTCCATTTCCATGTGTAATATTGAATATAACTTAGTCTACTGATTTAGCCTTATCTTGTCCTACATCAGACTGAGATTTTTCAAGTATTCTGTTTTGGGGGGTGGTGACAACAAACCCTAGCATTTCTTTTAAATGAAGAAAGTAGTCCTATTTCTTAACTCTCTGAATTTAAGGAGAGAATTTTATATTTTGGGATTGAATACATAGAAAAAAAGCAATTTGAAGAACTGGGTTATTTTTTAAAGATTTTATTTATTTATGCAAGAAAGAGCATGAGCAGGGAGTGGGAGGGGCAGAGGGAGAGGGAGAAGCAGGCTCCCCACTGAGCAGGAAGCCTGACCTGGGGCTGGACCCTGGGATCATGACCTGAGCCCAAGGCAGACACTTAACCGACTGAGCCACCCAGGCACCTCTGAAGAATTGACTTTTAAATATCTTGTTGGCTTTAATATTTTTTTATTATAGAATCCCATCTCCATTCAACCCAAGTTCTGTAGCCTGAACTGTAGATAATTCTAGAAGTAGTAACCTTGGCCGAAGGGGATTAAGGACATAGATAAGAAACAACGGGTACAGATCTAAAAGCTACAGTGGCCCAAATGGAGAGGTAGAAATTAAATGCAGATAGTTGTAAGAACACATGCCTTGGAGGTAGATGTCCCCTTTTAAACTATTTTATCATTTTTCATGATTGAGTGTTAATTAATGTTCAAATCCTGAAGTCCATTCATCTTCCTGGTCATTGTAATCATCCAGACAGGTTAAAAATCTTAGCCACGATGACTTTAGCAAGGAAAGTCCGAGAATGATGAAGATTCTGGTGTCCTCAGTCTTAGCAAGGGTAGTATGGAGCTTTTTTCAGCAGTGAATGCAGAAATGAGGCTATTCAGGTCCCTGGATTTAAGTGACTTGTCAGAAGTCATATCATTACTTAGAAATAACCAGGCTAAGCCTCCAAGTTTATTGATCCCTGTAAAAATTGCTGGAAGAAAAAGAAGAAAAGGCAGATATGCTAGGCCCTAGAGTAGGAAAACCCCAGTGCCCCAGTGGGTCCTCTGGCATCTGCATCCCCCCATCCCACAGAGGATGTGCGCAGGGTGGGCTGTGCTGGTTTCCTCGGATGCCCTGCCGTAGGACACGACTTACCGAGGCCTCCCATACAGGGGGGCGGCCGCTTCTGTAATGGGGATTTGCGATCTGCCCTAGTTGCCCGTGATTACAAACTGTTGACATCTAGAAAGATGCTTCGGGAGTGTAGCAGACCAAGAGAGACCTGAGCTGCTCTGAGTGAAACAGATCTGGGTGATTTAAGCATCTGGTATAAATCATTATCAGCAAAGCAGCCAGGCCTCCGATCTGCCTTTTCTGCTCCTGGGCCCTCCCTTGAGTCTCTTACCCGAGCCTTTGACTTATGGGGTCACTCACACTGCTATGATCCCCCTAAGGATTCCACCTCTGCCTTCCTGACAGCAGATGCTGACACACGGTGCCATTACTGAGTCCTGAGCACTGGCCTCGCCTTGGCCCTCTGCCGATCTGCTGCCGCCTGGCTCTCGTGCCTGGCAAGCACCAGTCTCTGGCTCGCCACACACTCTCTTTTCCTCTGGCTTCTTTCCTTCTCTAGGATCCCACAGCCACCATTACCAACTGGAAACTATAAGCCCATTGTTTGATCACCTGAGCACTCATTATATAAATCCGTAGACACATTTTCTCCTCAAGGAGCTTACATTTGAGAGACAAAATATCACATGTACAACCGAGGGCGATAAGGACCTTGCGTTAGTGGTCAGGATGGAAGGATATGGACAGTCACATTTCTGGAATTCCTGAGCAAGAGGTCAGGGTCAAAAGGAACATGGATTTCTACACGTTCCTATCCAAAGAGTGCTATGGCAATATGGTAGAGTCGCTCTCCCTTTGTTTTTTATTTTTTACTCTTCCTTTTAGTAGTTCAGCGACCTCATCTTATTTTTCAGAAAATTACGTGGGAAATAAAACTGTGCAAAATATACTGGGACAAGAATGAAAAGGGAATGTAGACAAAGAATTACGTAAACAAACAGTTGATTCGGATTGCTAAGTAATGCTTGATTTTTCGTCCCTTTAAAAAAACACCCACTTTTTTACTTCACAGTATGTATGGATATCAAATCATTATGTTGTACGCCTGAAACAAATACAACCTTATGTCAAGTGTAGCTCAAGAAAATTAAATTAAAGAAGTGTTCTCTAAGATTAAGATTTAAAGGGAAAAAACGCCCACTTTGTAAAACAAATAATTTTGTTAGTGTGGTGATTACAAATATGGGGAGTAATGTTCCCGAAAGAATTTTGTCTCAAAATTTCAATTATATACACTGATCTCCATTGTTTTCTGTTTCCCCCCATAGGTGTCGCTGGTACCAATATCATAATAGGCATAATCGCTGGCACTGTCTTAGTGCTGGCCCTCATATTAGGAATAACTGCATGGGGTTATAAGTAAGTGAAATGTCTCAGTATTGTTACTATCGAAGTAGACTTTAAAACATTTCATTTAAATTAATTAAGCACCTAGAAAGTTGTTTATCATTGGATAGGTATACCTGCAATGAAAATCAGTCTGGTTCCACAGGCAATCAGTGAATAGTCTTGGCATGATTAGAGGTGATAATAATTTACTATGTTTTTAGATTTTGAGGTAACTCCCTTCTATTCTGAAAGTAAAGAATATTGTTTTAAAACTGTTACGTGAAGTAAAACCGATCTAAATAGTGTCTTAATGCGAAGGCTGTGTTGGTTTGCTCTTGAGTGACATGGGCTCTCTTGACTTAAACCCACGCCCAGAGATCTAGGCAAGATGGTCCCATAGGGAGCATAATGCTTTAGTACCAACAGCAGTGACGCTGTCAATTCTCAGCAAGAACAGCCACGGCAGATGTGTGACCGAGGACTTGCCGTGGCCCAGCATCGTGCCAGAGGCAGAACCTCTTCCTCTTCATACCCAGTACGAAGGGGGCACTAGTATTTAACTATTGGGTGTTTGTGTGTGAAGAAAATACTGTTCAGAGACTTCATTTGTTCACATTCAGAGTCAACTTTAAGTTACTGCTTTTAATATGTAATTCTTAAGCTTCAAGTTCAGCTTAGAAGTTTTGGGTTCTTATTTATACATTTTTAAAAAGTTACAAATTACGTAACTTTTGAATACTGAAACCCCTTGAGCATTTAGCTAAGGAGATGACTTCAGGCATTCCAAACTTACTTATTTTCTGAATATGTTCAGTTTCCTTTTGAAGTACTTCGATATTAACGATGTAAAAAATTTCCTTAGGATTCAAGTAACTTATTTAAGTTTAATAAATTGAAACTTAAATATGGTGAACCTTGAGTTCTGTTTAATATTTCAACTTAAAATCATTGTTCTGCTGATCTCTCATGATGATGTTTCAGTACCCCAGCCCTAGGGTTTTTCTCCATTTGAAGGGCCTACAATGTTTTCTAGGCATTCTGGCCATTACCCCATTTTATAGTACTCCCCCCCACATACGCCTGACTTACTTCACTGACAGACTTGGGAATTAGGATATTTTAGGCTTCAAAATTACCCCAAACTGTTCAATAGACTAGGCACTATGTAATTATGTGCTATTATTATTATTATTATTATTACCTGACATGGTCTTAAACCAACTCATTTGAAGGAAATCTCTTTAAAAGTATATATGGCTGTTGTTTGTTGTGAAGTCAGAACCCTGAAAGAGTTTCTTTGGCGGAAAAGAAAGAGCAGTTAGCTTACTGCCAAGATAAACTTTGTATGCTGAAAGCATTAAAATACACGAGGGCATCTGTGGAAGGCACATAGATACCTATGTGCCTCTTTGATGTGCAGGCCGTTAGCTCTATGGCATACTTCCATTTGCACGGGCTGATTTCTTTCTTTTTTTTTTTTTTATTTATTTATTTGAGAGAGACAATGAGATAGAGAGAGCATGAGGGGGGGTGGTCAGAGGGAGAAGCAGACTCCCCGCTGAGCAGGGAGCCCGATGCGGGACTCGATCCCGGGACTCCAGGATCATGACTTGAGCTGAAGGCAGTCGCTTAACCAACTGAGCCACCCAGGTGCCCCCTGCATGGCCTGATTTCATCATAAAATTTGGAGTTATAAAATTACATGTCTGAAAGGAAGGCTTTTCTGAATATTTATCATATGACCTCACCTCACACCCCAGGTGAATTAGTCCCATCTTGGAGTTAACGCTATTTCCTCGACTTCCCTGATTTAAGACCTATGTGGTAATTGCCATCACAAGCTTTGATCTTTTGAAGTAGCTCAGTGGTTTCATTGGTCATGTGAAAAGGGGAAGGCAAAATTATTAGTTCTGTTGTGTGTGATTTTCTGCCACCTACTGATGCAAATTGGTATTTCTTGTTTTTGCAATCTTGGAAAAAAATTACCTTTCAGAAAATATGAAATCTAAACTTCTCTTGCTAATGAAATTACCTATGTCCATTTGTTTTAATGATTAGAATGAAAGTACTTCTGTTTGTCATTTCTTATTTTTATGAAATTCTTTTGAGATTTCACTGTTTTTTCTTTTTTTCATTTCTGAATATATGTACTTTGCATATTCGCTAAGGAAAAAGACAAATCTTATTCATACCACAGAATCCTCTTCATAAATTTGAACCTGAGTGATGAAAGTTTTAGTGCTACTAAACTTAATTCAGAGTATGTTTAAGAATAGAACGAGAATGTAGAAGTTTTAATACAGGAGTTAAATTCATGAAATTCATATTCTACTTGAAATTCAAAAATGGATTTAGGACCTGAAAACTCGTTTCCTCATTAATGCTTCCGATTAAACTTTCTGCCCGTTCTCCAAGCCTTGGAGTGAGGGAATGGCGGAATAGGCAATGAGGAATACTTATTTGGAACTGATGGACCACTAGGTAATCAGATGGAGGGAATAAAAAGTTAAACATACTGAATAGAAAGAGTCTGGGACTTATTCTCCCCCTCCCCCAATCTGTTGGTTTCAACTATGAAAAATATAAATAACAGATTGGCACTTTTACTCTCATGAGCTCATTATTAAACCAAGATACTTACAGGGTGTATGAAATAGATAGGCAGATAAAGGTGCTACAAACAAAATTGATATGGAAATATTATCCTTGATGTGGGGAGGAAGGAGCCCAGTACTCAGTTGCTTGACCTTTCTAACATGTCTTCAGAATATTAACACTTAATTAGGTCACGATAGAAAGTTAAAAATTAAGTCTTTTGAGTTGTAAATTAAAAGTCACTGGTGTCTTACTATTATACCCCCTAGAACACATTTTTGTTTAATATCGGTTTGTTTTAAAACTCATGTAATTTTGTTTTAGTGTATGGCCAAATGAAAAAGAGAGACTAAAGTTTGAACAAAGTATTTCCAGTGTAAAGTTTCAGTAAGTAGTGATCACTTAGAAGGTCCCTAACAGCTGTGAATTAACTCATTCTAATATATCCTACATGATGAAATAAGATGTTCCCGTGTCCAATCATGTTTTCCCATTTGAAATTCTTAGGAAGAGCTTTAGTTTGGGATATGTATTCCAAAAGGAATGAATTATGATTTTTATTTCTATGAAAGCAGTTAATTTATAGAAGTAACTTGAATAAGATTGACTTTAGAACATTACTAACTAAATGTTTAATATGGTACAATTGATATTGGGAAAACAGGTGTTCTTTCATAACTGAAGCTTATTTATGCTGTTAAAAATATTTATTTGAAAATTTTGTCACTAACCCTTTGGTGTCGCTTCTAAAGATGAAGTAGAGAGAGAGAGAGAGAGAGAGAGTGTGTGTGTGTGTGTATCGTGTGAAAGAGAGTCTGTGTTTGTATTCCCCATGTTATTTTACTTTTTTTAAGGATTTATTTATTTGAGAGAGAAAGAGAGAGTGAGAGAGAACACGAGAGGGGAGAGGGTCAGAGGGAGAAGCAGACTCCCTGCCGAGCGGGGAGCCCGATGTGGGACTCGATCCTGAGACTCCGGGATCATGACCCAAGCTGAAGGCAGTCGCTTAACCACTGAGCCACCCAGGCACCGTGTATTACCCATTTAGTTTTGCAATTCAGAAATCCTCTAGTGGAGACCTTTCAATGAATGCTAGACCTTTCATGTTTATTGCTCTCTCTGAATATACTTCCATAGGTAACTAATTCTTCTTTTTTTTCCTTTTCTTCTTGTCCATGAAAAGAAATTATCGAGAACAGAGGTATGTGATGAGAATAATCTGAACACATAACTGAAAGGTTTAAATCCTATTAACATCCTTGGAATTCATACATGCAGTTATAAAAGTTATAAATGTTGACTTTGTGATCATAGAGCAATCTTGTTTTTCATGACCTTGAAACGATAATTTTAATAATGGTGCTGTGGAATGTATTATTTATTTACAAATAGATCTATCATTATTTAATTTTAATGGTTCTTTCATCCAACAGTACCATAATAATAGAAGTTACTTGTGCTACTATTATAGTAATGTATATGGAAATGAACTTTTTTCCATCTAAAACAAACTTCCTCTATGTTAAGTAATCACCTGTGTTTACATTAGTTAATTGGCTTTTCTTCATCTTTTTAGCAATCTTATTGCCTAGTACTTTCTGAAGGAATTTATTTTTTATTTGTTACTATTGTTATATTAATAACTTCCATACAAAAATGATAAAATTTATATGGGCACAGTGCTGGGATCAGGAGAATGTCCTGGTACTTGATGGGCCTGTTTACTTCTGCATAAGAAGATATTTTTGTACTGATTAGGTAATTGTGTAGGTAAATAATTTGCATTATTGGAATCTCAGATTGTCTAGTGTAAAGGCCATAAAGTCAGACACCCTGTTCATCATAACCTTAAAATCTATGTTTAACCATCAGCATGAAAAGTGGTACAGAGCACTCATGTAGTTTTATAAAAATGCCTATTTTTTCCTAAATCTAAATTAACCCATTTTGAGATAGCCCCTTCACTTTTCACATTTAAAAAATTATTAATGCTCTTAGCTATTATACAAAAAATTTAAAATATCCTGGAAGACCGGGTCTTATGCATCATGTAATACTAGTTTTGTACTCAAGATAACTGTGCAGATTCATACTTAACTTTCCCCACTGTTGCATCAAATGTCAGGCAGATTGGGAATAAGATGTAATAAACATGATAACACTTTTTCAGGCCCTAACTAGCTTTCATTTTTTCACAAATTAAAATTTTGAACTTTACTTTTCTGTTTTGTTCCATGTTGTAATTTAAAATTCCTGTAAGAAGACTTTAGCCATAAGTGTCTACAGTCTCTATAAATGTGCTCATACTGAACCAACTAAGATCCTGGTCAGTTAGCATAGATATTAGGAAATATTCATCCAGTCCTGGGATAACTAACTAACTCGTCATTAATGGAAAAAGTAAACCTGAGACAAAATGACTTAAGTTTTAAAAACAACTAGATTTCTTTTTGACATGTTTAATAAAACTCTTGTGTCTAATCACTGGAGAAGAGCTGGAATCATTTAAGCTTTCTCTTGATAGAATTTGATCAGTTATATCAGAAATCTAAGTTTGGTGGCTTTCTCCAATGAAAAACAAAATTAGGCTAATAAGATCAAATATTGATGACTCAGCCTCATTTCCGTAGTAGCTAAGGCTATAAGGTAATTTAATATTGCTTACATATAAAAAGGAAAGTAAAATGTCACAAATATAAGCCACATAAGCAAACCTAAAGCAGTGCTCTAAGACACATTCTCACCTGGAGTACTATCCAGAATGAGGGAATTGCCCACACTACAAAAAATTATTAATATGCAAAACTGTGTACCAACCTCTTATTCTAACTCAGTATCTACATAGGTACAGTTGAGAACATTTTTTGCATTAAGAATTTCCTTTATGTGTCTGATATAATTTCATGCCTCCTGGCATTACTGAGTCATCATTTTATCAATCTGGTTACTATTTTGGAACCTAGTTCATATTTTGAGAGTGGTCACATCTTCGACAGATTTTTATTTTATGTATTTTGCTGTATTTCATTGCAATATTTATTTATTTTTGCCCTTGTCTATAGCTAATGAGTCTTAGACTTGTAGAATAATTCTCAAAATGAAGAAGTAGCAATTAATGGACTTTAATAAATATCTTCTGAAGGATTTTCCTTTTTGAGAATATTTGTCAGTGGTGATAGAGCAGGTAGGGAAAGGCCAGTGGACCAAAGCATGCATTAAGAAATGTATAGTCTTATAAAAATATTTTCAGATGTTCAGAAAGATGTGTTCAGTTCTGAAGGATGCTAGGAAATAGAAATAAGAATTTTGAGTTGTCTTTGTCTTTAAATTTAAAGGTTTTCCTTTGAGGTTCCATGGTGGGAGGACTAAGTGACGAGGAATCAGAAATTCACTTGCTAGGATGTGATTTCTTGGGAAATCACTTAAATTTCCCACGACTTTTAAATCAGATAAAGTTCTATGTAATCTGTGAAGCATCATAGTGAGGGAAGTTCTTAGTATGTGGTCTCTGAAGACTTTGTGTTTCTCTGATCTTCAAACGAAGGACGTGAATGTGGTTGTTCTCACAGAGAAAGGCCGCATTCATCCACATGAATGAGGCCCACACATACTGGTTGACCTGGTGCAAGTGTGGGTGGACATAAAGGTTTGCTCTGACACTAAATGCAAGACCATATTAAACATATAGCCAGTTATCAGATTCTTATTAATGATAGCCATTAGGCATAACTTTCAAATTATTAGAGAAGTCAGGCAAGTAATTCTGTGAAGGAGCTTGATAACCTGGCATGATAGGTTTAATTGCAAGTCTGTCAACCCTTTGTTTTCTTTTTGTTTACAAACTGCTTAATAAAAACAGAAGCCCTGTTCTGGACACAGTAGAGGCAGAACCCCATGCATGAATGGTATCACTTTAAATCTGCCAGTGTTACCTTATGAAGGGGAGAACCGTGTAACCTAGGAACCGTGGAGAGTTCTTTTATACATCATGTAGTCAGAAGGATGGCTGATCTTTTTCTTTAAAATTTTCAGGGACGAAGGCTTCCATATTATTTTCAGCTGATGCTATCATAATTGCTTTAGTATTTAGCAGCTGTATACTCTGTGTGTTTGTTTTTTTTTTAAGATTTTATTTTTAAGCAATCTCTACACCCACTATGGGGCTCTAACATACAACCCCAGGATCAAGAGTCTCACACTCCGCCAACTGAGCCTGCCAGGCGCCCCAGCAACTGTATACTTTGATACAAGAATTATAAGTTTGAGCTTTAGTTTTCAGATCGGTTTGCAAGTAGCAATAGAATAAGAAAACATTAATTTGAACTTGGATTTATATAACATCCATATTCAGCTGAAATATTCTCTTCCTTTGTCTGAAATGAACACACATCATTATGATTAATGTGAAATAGCATAAATAATTAGATCATATCTTCCTGATCTGTACCTTAAGCAGAAACCCCCTTCCCCATTTCATTTCTCTCTCACCTGTTTTAGCCAGTTTATTTTCTGCTTGTGAACCTCCCTCCCTCCTTTTTTTCAAACCTATCTTAGTTTGTTTTTATATTATTATTAATTATATTATTATTATTATTTAAGTGATATTCATGCATCTGTCCGTGTGACTTGGTACATATTATATAATATTTCTTAAAACAGTAAAGTAACAATTCTAATATCAGACAGCCCAGACACCAACAAAGCATTGGAGAAATGCCTCCTTCAGCATTAAGGTTAAGACTTAAGTTTTTTTCATTGTATTCTCATTTTGAGTCTGTGTAAGGATTAAAGTTAAATATTATGGTTCATTGGACCCTTTAAGGAAAGACCAGACTACCCTCATAACAGGGTTCCTTTCTGAGGAAAAAGAACTTAGTTAAATAAGCTTTTATTTTAGTCATTATTTATAAAAATTCGTGTGTGTATGTACATATTTGCATATAATGTGGGAAATATGAGGTAATGATCCCATGACAAAACTTGGTGCTGGTCAAGCCACCTAATGTAGTAATCACTTCGTGAGTCAAAATTCCATGAGATGATAAAAATTTAAGAAGAAAGCCATAAAGACTAGAAAGAGAAATTTGATTAAAAAATTTAAAGACTCATTTAGTCATTAATGATCTTATATAAGAAATGATGAAATGTTATTTTATTGATCATGGGGACCTGATATTCTCTATCTTCACTAAAGTTCAAACAAGAAGAAGTAAGTTTGTTGTAATCGGCAATGGATACATGATTCTTCACTGGACAGTGAAGAATGTTAAATATGATTCTTAAGAGATCTTTAACAAAATTCTTAATCTGTCATTAACATTGTTATTCATTTACTATGTGAAGAAAGTTACATGCATTCCTTATGTGATTTTAAGGGGAATACAGAGTAGTTTCTGTATTTTGGAGTCTTATTAATAGAGATAGCTAAGAATCTAATCTGCTCATCACCATAAAAATAAGGCCACACCCCAGAAGTTCATTAAGCTTAAACTCCCTTCCAACCCCTTGACTGAAGCCCATGGTTTATGATATGTTTGGTGTTTAGAATTTTTGTGCATTGTGTGAAAGATGACCATGCCCTGCAGAGAAATTACACTGAAGGAGTGGTAAAATGTGCAGAGTTAAAAAAAAAAAAAAACAAAACCAGCAACAAAACGAGGCCCATCTATTGTGAGGGGTAGTCCATTTAAGCCTGCAGCCTCAGCCAAGGGAGCCCTGGTAAATGCCTGAATGCCAGAATCAGGTAATGAAAAGGTAATTTGGGGGATAGATTAATGGGAAAGGTCAGATGTAGTTGGAATTTGTCTTCATTTAATTTGAATTTAGTGAGGCACATCTTATCAGTTTATAGAGATTATTATTAAAGGTGATGATGAGAAAAAGGATTTGTTAACCATAAAGATTATTGTTGGAGATGATGTTGATGGCATTCTTTTATAAATATTAATGTGATCCAAAAGGAAAGTTTCCACCCTGAGGCGACATACAGCACTCTGAGTTTCTTGAGATCATTTTTTTTTTCAAGCATGACAGAATGTTTTACTCATAGGAGGCAAGGCAGAAAATGTGATTCCAGAGATTAAAGATCTCTTGCATAACAATATGTATCATTTGTCCTGTATTATTAACACTGTGAATATGGGGAAATTATACTATTTTTTGTATAAAATTAATGTTTCATAATATACTGGGAAAAAGAAAAAAGTTACAATTATGAGCTGAAGCCACTTAAGGGGTTAAAAATATTTTGAAAGAGTATCACAGAGTTCTAAAATTAGTCTTACAAATCTAATGAGAAATTTGACTTTCTTCAAAGGGGAGGATCACACAAATTTATCTATGTGCTTCCTATGGGTTGAAAAAATTTTTTAGATTTGTGGAAATGTGTGAGTATATAGGATTGAAATAATATGAGGGAGGTATTCAAGTAATTCAAAAGAACAAATGACCAAGTGTTGTCAACATTTCAAACAGAATAGGAATTGGTACAAGCAAGCAAACATCTGAAAGTGGCATTTTTTAAGATAGAATTTAGCATGAGCAAGTAACCAAGGTAAGCATGCTCACTAAGGAAAAATCAAGTAGAAAAAGGAGTTAGCAAATTTGGTCTTTGTTGGAGACCTATTGAAGTATAACTCTGTTTAAAATTCTCAATCCATCGCCTCCCACAAGGGTACCAAATGGAACTGAATCAAGTTTTGGATGCAGGTGGTTTTTTGGGCCCAGGCATTGGCAGGTGATCAGATTAGCTATTGAGGTTGGCTAGGTGGTCCATTCTAGAGTTTTCTACCCTCCTCCGTTAGGAAAAGTAATAAAAATCTGTTCCAACCTTAGTTAATTCAAAATCAGAGCAAGTGGGGTCAATAATAGTACAGATTAAATGGATCTTCTTTTGTTGTGTTCCTTCTACAGTGGAGGTAGAGAACCGAGGTCACCCACCAACTACCTATAAGTATCTTCCTGTAGTCTCAGCAAGAATTCATATATTTTTCAACCCCTTCTTCCTCTTGCAGAATTATCTCCCTTTACATATTCTACTGTGTAGTTATAGCATTACATTTTTGATTGATGTTGGAATCTCTTTCAGTTTCTTCCTATTTCTCCTAAATGAACAGTGAAGCTCCAGATTGAACAGATTAATAAGAATTTAATTGGATTAAATTATAGAAAATGGCTTAGAAATCCCTCCGTTATTTTAGGACTTAATTGGTCTTGGGGTTACATTATATAATGTTTGGAAATCTTGAATAGTTTATTGACCACAGTGAAAAAAAACTGTGCCTTATCTGGGGCAAGGACGGTCTGTCCCAACATGTTTCCTTCAGCACCATTTTTTTTTTTTTTTAAAGACAAAACTTCAGTCAACATCTCCAAGTATAATAAAGTTACAATGAGAAACTTCATCTTTCCATATTTTTCTCCTGAAGCAAGGCTTTATTCATCCAGACTGTATAGACTTCACTGATTGCATTTTTGACCTACAGTTAGAATGACTTAACTTGTCACATTTATTAAATATAATCTTACATGTTGTTATAGATTTGATTCATGTAGATCATTATCCCTACCTCTTTTATCCTAAAAGAATATTTGTATATGTCTGTGTTCATGTGTGTGTCTTGTTTTCTGACTCTGAAATGTTTATTATGCCTTAGACAGTTACCCCAGGGAGATTATGTAAAAAAGCCTGGAGATGGCGACTCTTTTTATAGCGACATTCCTCCTGGAGTCAGCACAAACTCAGCATCTAGTTCTAAGAAGAGGTCTGCTTTTCTGTCGCATTTTCAGATTTCTACCTGTTCCATCACACATTATTCCATTAGTCAGAACATTTCATTATTTTGCAGCAGGTTTGATTACTTCTTCCTTCTTTCTTGAATGTTAAAAAATAGTATCCTTTGTTCTTTGATTACTGCGCTTCCAAATGCCATATGCTCAGAACCACTTGTTAAGCAAATCAGGCCAGAAATTGAACCAAAACTAAACCAAACCAATAACAATCCTAAATCTACATAGAAATCCTAGGGTTTTTCAATCTTGCTCTTATATGGCTTAAGAAACTATACATAGTAACTTATAACATTTTAAATGGTGAGCTTTATGTCATGTTGGGTAGTCAAAGAAAAAGGTTACTGTCATGCTTCAGTAAAGCAGTTGTTAAATTGGTACTATAAATGCTGCGTTGAATATTTTTAAATTTTAAATATACCAAAGCTAAGCTTGCTGTGAAAAAAAGATTGCTTCTCTGTGAATCATATTGAATATTATGATTTTGCCTTTTATTCCTGGAATGATTATTTCTAGACTTTCTAATTTAGAGTTCGGTTGCCAAATTAAGTATATTTAATATTTGCCTGAATTTTATAATAGGACAAGTGGGGTTAATATATTATTTATATGTCTTAAACTTTGATGTTATATTCTTGCTCTGGGATCTTAAGGTGTATAAGACCATTTAAAATTCTGCATGCTTTATAATTGCTTAATAAAATAAACTGGTAGAAGAAATAAATAGTTGGAATGTTTTAGGAAATGAGACCTACATTCACATTGAAGAAAGCTAAAATGTTCCTGTGGAAGAGTTTCTTTAAAATTGGTGATAGGGGTGTAATGTATAGAAAAGAAAGATTTGATAGCCCAGTACATTGCTTTGGGCACAGTAGGCACTTTGGAGACTGAAGGGGAATTTCTAGTTTATTTAGAAGAAACGTGATCTCTTCTGGAATTCTATATGGAGTGAATCGTCTGTAAAAATTCTGCAATAGATCTCACTCTGTAAATAATCACAAAGGAGAAAAGAAAGAATCAGTAGATCTGGGAACTCTTCTTTATGTGGAACTGTCTTAAGCATGAAGGATTGTTTTTACTCAGATAACATAGCTTAGAGAAAAATAAAAATATTAGTTTTTGCACAAGGAGTACAGATCTATAGAAGGATGTTCAAAAATTTTTATTCTTTCTATTGGGGTATTTTTGGCTAAGATAATAAGGTTTATCTAAATTCTGTATATAAATATTTTCTTGGTCAAATATTTAATTTTAAATTAAATAACATGGTAAATAGAGAAATCAGTGGATTCCAGCAGAATTTCTGTTGTCCTTCTGGACAAAATAGGATTCATTCTATAATTAGCAAATTATGTTGTAAAACTCCTAATCTCGGGAATTAATGTGTAATAATTGTGCTGAGTTCCATTTATTTTCATTCATCATTAGAAGGCTCCTTTTAAAATAGACATTATTAGCGATTAACTGGAATGATGTGTGGAAAAGATTTTAAATATAGTGCTATTGTCTAAAGTACCTCAAGAAGAGCTTAAAATACTGATTTGAATAATTCCCAGATATTAGAAGAGTGGGTTATGACTTTTAAGTAGTTAAAAATGGTATCAAATTATGTGACTCCTCCTAAATACATGTAGTTTGTCAAAACACTTTTCTTATGTGATACAAGTAGGTGTGTAAGTTTTGCTTCTTGTAGACAATTTATTTAAGATGGTAGGACACAGGACAAGGGCTTAATGGTACATGGGCTTTGTGAGAGAAACTTCCATGATAAACATTTGATTCAGTTTGGTTATTGGACAATTAACTAACAGTACTACATTTTTGGGGGGGCATATTTGTGGAGAAAATGCCAATTCTCAGAAAATAGTTTTATTGTTTAAGAAAACCTAAATATTACTTTGATAAAGGTTGACCAGTTCAATTGAACAGATCTTAATGAAATCTCTTGGAAGTCCATGTTCTCATAATATCTGAATGAAAACCATTGCTTTACAATTAAGAAACATCTATAGTGGGACCCCATTATAACTCTTCTGCTCGAGTTACATAACTGAACTATGAAGTGAATTTGCTCATTGTGGTTGTTGGGAATGTAATTGGCTTGCACAGTATGCTGATACTTTTCCATTGTACACTATTGTAATGGGGTTCCATTGTATTTGACTTTTCTTAAATTGAATGTTGTGTAATTCTGCCTTCTTCATGAAGACTTTCATGGTCTCTTCATTCTTTCATTTCAGATCTTTTTCTTTCTTGATTTATTTAATGCACAGTAATGCTTAGAAATTTTGCTTACTGATTTTAAAACTAAGTTCACTTGATTGTAGTTTTGAACAGTATACACGCCTTTTCAATTTCAGGTCGAATGGACTTTCTCATTCTTGGAGTGAAAGGATCCCGGACACAAAACATATTTCAGACATCTGTGAAAATGGACGACCTCGAAGCAACTCTTGGCAAGGTATACGGCGGCCTTCTGAACAGCTAGTGCATCTGTTTGCAGAACCCCAATTCTCTCTTGTGGTTCTTGGTTGTGAAGATTTGTTCTTCATGTATGCTCTTTAGTTCTTCTCCCAGCAGAGAAGAGGGCATTTATTATTTCTTTCTTTTATTCTTGGATGGGAAATGACGGGATTCGGTAGCACCAATGTGAGAGAAGGCTATACAGAGTACCCGACGTGTAGCCCTAGGTTCTGGGAGGGGCTGGCTGTGAATTACACCACTTGAAGTACCCTGTAATTACCCATGTGACCGTTGTTTGTTTACATTCAAATCTAGCCATAAACTGTCTTTTTCAGGTAACCTGGGAGGCAACAGAAAGAAAATCAGAGGCAAACGATTTAGACCTCGGTCTAATTCAACTGAGTAAGTCTAAACCTCTAATGGAGAAAGGCATTCCAAGGTCCTGTGCAGTTAGTGTGCAGGGCTAAGTAACGAGATCATCAAAGAACTGTAAACCATGCCTCTGGTCTTGGTTTTGTCTTTTTAATTCCTTTTTGCCATTTTAAAATTAACCATGGCTTTTCTCTTTTACATAGGCATCTCCGCAACTGTACCCAAACCAATATTCACTGATAGTGGGGGGTCCCACCCTCGCTGCAGGCTTTTTCCTCCAGTAACCTGCCATTGTGGTGTCTTGGTTCCTTTTGAAGGGAATTTTGATAACATTCCTTTCTTCTCATCACCCGGGGTCCAGCCATTTCAGAGGGTCACCCTTCCTCTTCCCAGTATTCACACAGCCTAGAAGCATCAAGGGAAAATTCCCGCCGTCCTAGAGCATGAGACTGCTCACAGTGTGGAACCACCGCCCGGAGGGCTTCATGGCTGCAATCTAAGCATTCTCTCAGACTAATGGAATATGTATTCCCTTTTAAATCTTCCTTCTGAGGACATTTAAAAGGGCACTTATCAAAACTTGCTCTTTAACGGAATCATTGTCACTAATTGCAACACTATCTGTTTTAAATGATAGCCACACCTTTTTTTTAAGGGGGGAGTGTGGGATCAGAAATTACATTTAAAGTTATTTCTAATGAGGTAAACACCATGCACTTTTTTTTTTTTTAATTGTTTCTTCACTTAAGAAAGTACAGCAAAACCAAGCTTCCTCAAACCTTTATCCCACGTCGAGGAATCAAACACACCCTCAGTATCCTTCTGGACCTTGCTACCAGGTTTTAATTAACCATACTTTTTGGACCTACCTAAACTTTTTTTTTAACTTCTTTCTCACTGCATTGCTAGCTATTGTTTTTAGGATCACCTTTGCCTCTTCATGCCTTAATACTTAAAAAAAAAAAAAAAATCTGAATAGCAGGTGTTTGTTAACTGCTTGTCCGAAACTTATGTTAGCTTTTCCATCATATACCCTGCCTTTTTCAGTCCAGGAATAAAAACAGTGCCCTGAAATTTGGACCTTCCTGCTGATGGTATTGTCTTGTAAGTGGCTTGTCAAAAGTTTGCTAGAGGATACTTTATTTTAGAAACAATAGATAGGTTTCAGTGATAACCATTGCATGGTCCAGAATGACATCATAGAACTCCATCATAAATAACTAACCTGTTCGAGTTTATCTTCTACATTCCCAAAGCGCTTGGATGCTTTAGGGCTCATTGTAGATAAACTCTTGGAATGTTGTTTGATTTGTTTTGCATGAGGTCACCTGGTAAAGAGCGCCTTAGCTCATCTCAGTTGCTCACAAGAATACAGATAAAACTGCAAAATGTTCTTCAGAACTTCCTTGATGTACTGGTTAGCATTTTAACAGCATTTCCTATAATAAGGCTTTGAAAACTCCCGTGAAAATAAACCAATGTTATATTAAAGCTAGGTATTTAGGACCCAAACAACACTTGGTGTTTAGCAAGATTCATACAGTATTTTCTAGCATGGTCACTTACTTTTTAAAACTCTTATGTAAAATTCCCACTCATATCATATGATAAAAATTATAATACTAGATAGCCCTTATGGAATTTCTTGCCTATGAGATAACACTATAGTATTTAATAAGATGTCATGGTGGAATCATCTTTGTGAGGAAGAAGTATTAAGGGCTCCCTCAGATTTTTCAGACTTTTCAGATTTGGGTACATGACTCATGTTAATTAAATGGAACCAAGTCTGTGAGGTTGACCACTATTTTCACGTACCTTATTGTATGGGCACTATATACCTATCTATATATTTTTGTTTTTCCTTGAAAAGAATCCTAATATATAGCATATCAGGAGTTATGTTGACAGTCTTTTCTTATACTTTCCATATTCGCTAAATAATCCCTTTTGCTTCAGATATGACATTATAATTTGTGGGACTATAAGAGGAGCAGAATGACCCTCTTTTTTATTTTTTAGATTAAAAGGTATCATTGAGTCCATTATTTCAACATACCCTTTAGTACCCATCATCCCAAAGGATGATGAAACATCAGGACATGAATTAAAATGTTCACCACAAATGCATACTCTGCTAATTAACAACCTACAGTGTCCTTGTTTATTGTATTGTTTTTTTCCACTCAAAGTTTTTGCATCTTCCTCACTGTTGTACATGATGTGAAAAAAGGTTTTGGCTTAGACTTTGTATTATATATTGTGTTTTTACAGGAGGGAGCCCCAAGCACCTGAGCCTGGGCACTCCCTCGCCCAGACAGTCCCATCCCAAGGCATAAGCCCAGGGGGCTCTGACAGCCCCCAGACAGGGAGTCTGGATCACAGGTCAGTCTCCACCTGCCCCTTCATTCTGGGCTGCCACTTAATCTCCCTCCTAGTCCCTTCCTTGGCTGAGAACAGGGTCATTTGATCTTTGACTGACCCCCAACGTCTGCTTGGACATGGTCCTGGTCCAGCCAGCACCAGCTAATTTTCCTCTGCCTTATCCATTCTGGAGAACACAAAGAGCTCTCCCCTGTCTAATGCATTTTTTTTTGCATGTTGCGCTACCAGCCAACTCAAGCCACGTAGGCAGGTTTAGAGCGGTTCGATAAAATCCCATCACTTCTGCCCCCACCACCTAGAAATGCTAGGAAGCCCACTGTGAAGACACTTTCATGGGCAGATCCCCAGAAGGAACCACCATTGAGACCTCTCTTCAGTGACCTCTAGTGAAGTGATCACAGCATTCTGAGATGCTCCCCGAAACAGAGGGAAAGGTCCATTACATGCAAGCCAAGCCATGCAGCTGTAGGTTTCATGGAACAGCCATGGCATCTGCCCTTTGAGCTTCTGAGATTGTCAGTGAAAGGAACACATGTCTCCTCCTGGAAGCTGCCTGTGGGTGACTCAGTTTGCTGTGTGGCTATGTTTCACCTGATAACAGCTGCATGGGCTTTTTCTCGGGTTTTCCCCAGGCCGGAGCATTCACTGGCCTTCATCTCTGGCTGCACTTGCGTTTTGACTTTTTCTTTTTGTTCAAAGGCTCAGCGGAGGTTTTTACGCAAGTTTTAATTGGCTATCTCTGTGAAAAGTGCAAGTTGGCAATGATTGTGGGTAAAGGCAAAACTAGCTCGAGTTGTTCCCGTGGCAGGGGACACTGTCTTAGCAAAAATGGTCTTACAGACATAAAAAGCAACTAAACCCTTCCCTTAGGAGGGAGCTGCATTGGTTATAGCTAAAAATGAGGGAAAGGGCTATGGAAAAAGTAGTCTAATTTTGTTTATATAACCAGAAATGTGGTCATGATTTAAATGTATTTACAAACTAAAACCAAACATGGCGGAAAGAAGCGAAGTTTAACCCCAAACGAATAGTGTATTTTACCTTTCCCCTGGTTTCTTTCCAAATAACTTGCAAAGTTTGATAGAGCTTGCATCTTCGTTATCTGTAGTGTCTCTAGAAGTTACTTTTTTTAAATGAGAAAATTCAGTACAACCTCCAAATTGTTCCAACATTGGATTTGTTGAATCTGTATTTCTTTTACAAGAGCACATTCTGAAAGGGGATGTGTTTTTGCTTGGCTCCCTGGGTTCAAATCAAAGGGGAAAACAACAACAACAACTTGCACTCCCAATTTACCATCTTTTAAATTTTCCTTTGCGCAGTAATTCCGATGGAGACTTTGCCAGATCCATCAGGGAAATGCTAATGAAGGTCATTTGTATCTTCTGGCAGTCACTCACATAATTCATGATCAGACATTCAGAAGGCAACTTCTGATGCCCATTTCCTAATGGAAACACAAACACGTTAGTCTGGAGTGCATAAAAGGAAGAAGGAATATTGCAGCTACAACTAAATTGCTGAACCCAACCTAAAGATCCTGGAGACCTATTTGGCCCACACTTAATGTGTATGGGGGCTCCAGGATCAGAATAGCGGGACCCTTCCTGCTGTCTGTATAGCCAACTGGAGCACCTTTCTTGTTAACTCCAGCCTAGGGTCTGCTATCTGGAGTGAGACGGAAGCCATGTAAAGTCTTTTTTTTTTTTTTTCATATTGGAAAGAGAACGTTGCTCCTTTTAATTGTTCTTGGGGTGTTATATACCCAAACACCAGGTTGGAATTGCAGCCATCTGAATATTCTCAAAAAGCATCGTTATCATTTGAAAACCAAGGAGCCAAATGAGAGGTGGCCTGGAAAAAGCCACTTTGGAGGTGGGTGAATGGGACCTCTGACGGTGCTATGATTGGAAGACAGCTTCTGATTCCCTTGGGGAAACCCCCGCCAAGGCTTTCCCTAAAATGTTGAATACATTCTAGAATGCCTCGAGCCTCATTGTAGCTGAGTTTATTCTCGTGTCATCGTACAGACTGCCTCATAACCCCCAGCATCCATCCTGGTTTATTTGCCATAGTCACTTGCATTTGGAGGGTGAAGAACATCCTTGCTAAGCTTGTGCTGTGTATTTTCAGATTTTCTATCTTGTTCTGCTTTCTTTGTTCCTTCCATTGCTTTCTGCAGGTATTTAAACCCATGGTTCAAAAGAGACTATAATGTAGCTAAGTGGGTAGAAGATGTGAATAAAAACACTGAAGGACCATACTTTAGGTATTTTATACATTAATTTTATATCCTTTTCAAACTCTCCCAGCACATACAAATACTGTAGTGTGACTGGCTCTCTAGCTTGTATCTCCCAAATACAAGTTCCCATAAGTGGAAAGGGTCCTTGTTCATTTGCTGCCTTTTAATCTCTGTTTCTGGCTTCATGAGCAAGTCTAGTTCTTTTCTGAATGTTTCAAATGAAGCCATTTGAAAGGGTTACCATTTAGTGCATGCCCCCATCACCATCTTGAGCTTTTTAGTAGCTTTCTCTTCATTTTATGCTATGTAGTGTTCTATGGGCATGAAACATACTTTCCACTAATAAAGAAGCACTATTAACCTGAACAGTTTAATTTCTAGAATTTAGCAGTTTTATAGTGCATTTTTCCTACTTCCTGCCTTAAGAGTGCATAGTGCATATGAAAAAACTTAAGGGAAAACATGAAAAGAAACCAAATGAAATGTAGCAGAATTTCACTTCAAGTAAAAACAGTGATTTAATGGAACTTAAAATTACTGAAAGAATCTTGACCACAAAGAGTGGGATCAAATGAGTTTAGGTTTTATTTATTCAGTACAAGCACTCGCCACCAGACAAGGGCTATGCTGAGAAGTGTTTACAGATTCTCAACAAAACATCCGAGGAACTTTTTATGCTAGGAAGATGGTTGTCTCACATTTCACACAGAGCAGGAAGCAGAGAGAAAACATGTTCTCAATTCACAAAAGAGCAGACTGAGTATCCCTATATTTTAGAAACTCTAGAATTTACTCAATCCACTGTAGCTCAGTCTAACTTCAGAGGTCAGAGAGAATTCCCAAGAGCTCTTATGGCATTTTTTCACTCTCTGTAATACCAAAGTGATTTCCTAGAGGTAAATGTCCAGTTTATATATGACTACTTTGTGGACAACTAATGTAAAGAAGAAATATGGACTCAGTTGCTACCTCTTCTGAACAGAATAAGCTTTCAGATTACTTTTTGCCATGACTTGGGTCAGCATTTAACAGATATCAAAATACGTATATGTACTTAACTCTCAGCACCCATCTAAGGTGGACTTTCTCTTCCAGTGTACCATTTAGTTTAGACATGTATAGTTTGAGAAAATGATTAGACCTATTTGCATTTTAATTTGATCCATACATTTGCATATATCCCAAGGAAAGCATAACCCTGCCTGCTCACAACAATATATCCTGCTTTTATACCCCATCTTTCCCTCCTGCCCTGTTCCCCTGCTTCTGTCACTTCCCCACACTGAACCTCATACACATACACTCACATTCAAACATCCCACCCTCACCTGTAGCTCTCAAGATGGCCAACGTCAGGAAGACAGGTAAGATTATTTTGAATGTTATTTGGAATCTTGGCT